GACACTAACTAATGCAACATTTAAAGAGCTTAGAGCAGTGTTTGGTGTATGAAAAATGCTCAGTAAATGAAGTTATTATTAAAACATAGCTATCGTTACTTCCATGCAATGTGAAATGACTAAACTAAACTAAACCTATTCTTCGTACTCAAATATGAGGAAGAAAAAATATAAAATAACTATCACAACCACAAAATTAGAAAGCCAATTGATGTTGATGTCTTAGAAAAAGTATATAAAAGCACTTTCTCCCACATGCCTACTTCTGTGATAACATGTAAAAAGAAGGATACGAGAAAATTTTTTATTGGCTTCAAAGTTTATGAAAAGAAGTCAATTTATTTTTAGATGTTTTTAAATATAATCGAACTCTGATCAGTGATTTATGAGACACAGTTAAACTCCCTTTCACCAGGTAAATGTCACCCGAACAGTTTCTCATCTACCAAATTTATCACACTCACCGTCAAGCAATACTAGTCTCTTGAATATCTTCATTTACAGGAGTTATATCTTTACCAAGATTTGCCATTTCTTCTTTCTTTTTCCTTCGAAGAGGACTTGGAAAATAGTATTAGAAATTAGCATGGGCCTGTTAGTTTGTGCAAACACAAAATTAATCATCAATGGAGCCTATGATCTTATTGCTAGACTGTTAGCAACACATAGGTTCCTTTTATTCTTAAATATTTGAGGTTCTTTTAAACCATGTCTTTCTCTAGGCTCCAATGATAGCTCTGACAGGCAATAGTATGGATAGAGTATACTTTTATCTAAATAGAAAGAATATGATACCTGATTGTGGATGCGGATTGGTTAGCACAAGAACATCTTTCAAGGTATGTTATTTTATAAATAGACTGATAAGCATTATTTAGTGTGTAAACAAGATAGAGAGCAATATGAGAACAGACAAGAAAACCAAGAGAGCCTCTGGATATGTTAATTAAGTTGTCAGATACAGTAAGAAATGTGTTAGATATCTGAACTGCAATCTAATTTTTCAAAGTATAATTAAAAAATAATGTAATAAAATAGGCCATTTCCCAACTCTGACAAACTGATACGTTACCCCCAAACTGGCATTATAAAAACTCCTTTTTGCTATATGAAGGAGATAAAATCAAAGACTTTTTTAAAAATTGTATAGCTAAAAGGAATTCTATAGATTATCTGGCTTAATCCTCACATTTTGCAGAAAGTAAAATGAAAGATTAAAGATATTAAGAAAATTTTCCGAGGTCTCAGAGATATTTAGTGGCAGAGCCAGGACAATAATCAGAGTCCCAGGAGCTCTGCTGGTGCTTTTCTCCCTCGAAGGTTGTGAAGAAAGGAATCATGAGACGCCCTCTTCTGGTCTGTACCGCAGCCCAGAAGTAATTGGAACAGTTTTGGAGCCTGCACTACCTTCTCATGGCAGGCAGACAGCACTTAAAGAAAATGCCTTTTTAGCACGCTCCCTGGGAGTCCTGCTCTGATAAAGAATTTGGTGGGTTTCCAAAAGAAACGAACTTAAGAATTGTACCAAGCCACTCTGTCTCATAGAAAAACAAGGTGTCTCTTGAGACCCAAAGTTGTGATATATAATGAAAAGTAAAAAACGACAACAAAAAAAGTGTAAACATCTTTCGTAGATAATATTTATTATTTTAACGTGGGCAAAAAAAAAAAAAAGTTTTGTGTCTTTGTTTTTGTCTGTCAAAGCTATAGTGTCATGGTACAGCATGAGAAAATAAATCTTATTTAGCCTACAAACAAACTCATCTAAAATATGACTGACTTTAGAATTAAATAAGTGTTCTTTTTAAATAAATTAGATTTATACAAATTTGATTTTAAATGATAATAATTGTGTGCACTAAAATGACAAATACCAAGTATTGTGTGTTTTATTATAAATAATACTTCAAAGTAAATGATGGCAAAACTGGAAAAGTGATTGATTTAAATCAAAGAAAAAAAGAAAGTAAAGGTAGAAAGGAAGGAAGGATGCAAAAGAAAAGAGTCAACAAGATACAATTTCTCAGATTTATGTACAATTAAATTTAAAAATACTTACTGACAGCATGTGCACACACTAATCACCAAAATGATCAACGTCACCATAACGGCTGTCAAACAAATCACCAGAATCTGTCCTGTATCTCCTCGCAGGTAAAAAAAGTCAACTCTCTCACATCTTGCTCCAGCGTAGCCGTCATCACAGCTAGACACGTAAAACAAGAAGAGGGGAACGAGGTAAAAAATGCAAGACTTTTAAGAATCTCTACTATTTCCCTTTTGAAGAAACTATCACTG